GTATAAACCCTGTAAGACATAAAATTGAATGAGTTTTTAACCTTAAAAAATATCTGCATTTCATTTTAAAATATACTGTTTCTTACAGAAAGACTCATCGTTTTTGCTAATAACACTTAGATATTGGTGCATGCATCTCTAATCTGTATGTATCTGATTATTACTAGTCATGGTCGGTTGCACTCAGATCCTTGACACCTGTATATGGATATAAAGTCATTGGGTAGATTTCAATGGTAATGTTTATCACCTCTACTGCTTAACATGGCGTGAATTTTTATGCTTCCTCCTCAAGTATAACTCATTTTTTAAATTTGTTGATTTTTTTTGTGTGTGTGTATCACACAGAACATTCCAAATGCTCTTATTCATCTATATACCCACTTCCCAGATGGCACCCTCCCGTAGCCCCCCCCCCCCAAGTAGAGCCCTTTTACTCTGTCTTCCCTGCTACTGTCTGCTGTGGTGTCAGCACCCCCTGCCATTCTCCACTATTGTCCATCCGGTGAATCTAGTCAGCCTATCTAGAGGTCTCTGTTTTAGGAAGGTCAGCTGTTCCTCATCTAGCAGCAACCAGTTGTCAATATTCCTTTACATTTTTACTAGCAGTATATAAGGCTTCCCTTTCTCTGCAACCTTATCAGCATTTGGTATAATTGTTTTCTTAATGATTGCCATTCTAACTGGTGTAAGATGGAATCTCAGTATAGTTTAATTTGCACTTCTCTGATGGCCAGTGATATTGAACATTTTACAAATGTTTATTGTCTATTATACTTCATTTTTTGAGAATTGTCTATTCACTTCATTAACTCATTTGTTAACTGAGTTGTTTGGTCTTTTGTTATTTAGTTTTTTGAATTCCTTATATATTCTATATGTTAGTCCTCAATCAGATGTATAGTTAGCAAAGATTTTTCTCCCATTCTATAGACTGTCTCTTCACTTGATTGGTTCCCTTGCTATACAGAAGCTTTAAAAAAATTATGAGTATGAGCATTTTGCCTGAATGTATGCTAGTGCATCATGAGCATACCTGGTGCCTACAGAGACCAGAAGAGGGCATTGGATACCATGAAACTGCAGTTAAGGCTTGGTATTACCTACCATATGGTGCTGAGAACTGAACCTGGGTCCTCTCGAAGACCAATTAGTACTCTTTACTGCTGTACCATCTCTCCAGCTTTGCAGAAGCTTTTTTATTTATTATTTTTTAATTTTATGTGTATGAGTATATTGCCTGCATGTGTGTAAGTGCACCCGTGTCGTGCAGTGTCCGCAGAGGTCAGAAGATGGCATCAGGTCTCCTGGAACTGAGCTACAGATGTTTTTTTTTTTAATCCACCATGTGGGTTCTGGGGCTTGAACCCGGGTCCTCTGCAGGAGCAGTCAGAGCTTTTAACTGCTGAGCTATCTCTCCAGCCCCTGCAGAAGCTTTTGAAGTCCATGCAATCTCATTTGTCCATTGCTGGCCTCACTTCCTGAGTGACTGGAGTTCTCATAAAGTTTTTGCCTATGACTATATCTTGAAATATATTTCCCTATTTTTTCCCTTAATAGTTTCAAAGTTTGGGGTCTTATATTAAAGTCTGTGATCTAGTACAGGGTAAGATGTAGGGCTCTGTTTCATTCTTCTACATGTGGCTATCCAGTTTCCTCAGTACTAATTGTTGAAAAGGCTACCTACCTCTAATATATATTTTTAGCATCTTTGTCAAAAGTCATATGGTTGTAGTGTCCTGGTTTATATCTGAGTCATCTATTCTGTTCCATTGACCTATATGTCTGTTTTTATGCCAGTGCCTTGCTATTTTTATCACTATGCTTTGTACAATAACCTGTCACACTTCCAACATTGTTCTTTTTGCTCAGGGTTGCTTTGGTTACTAGGGCCTTTTGTGCTTCAGTATGAATTTTATGTTTATTTTTCCCTACATCTGTGAAGAATGACATTGGAATTTTGATGATGCTTGCATGGAAGCTATATATTGCTTTTGGTAATATACCCATTATCACAATACTGATTCTTCCAATCCTTGAGCATGGGTGTTTGGGGGGTGTTCATCTATCTTCTAGTTTTTTCTTTAATTTCTTTCTTCAGTGTGTAAAATTTTTCATTGTAAAAGTGTTCCACTTCCTTGGTTAGGTTTATTCCAAGATATGTTTTCTTTAAGGCAGTTATGATTTGTACTGTTTTCCTGATTTCCTTTGCAGCATGTTTGTTATTGGTATAAAGGAAGACTATTGTGTTTCTGTCCTGCCATTTTGTTGAAAATGTTTATTAGTTCTAAGAGTTTTCTGGTGGAATCTGTGGGTCTCTTATGTGTGGAATGATATCATTGCAAGATGAGGGCACTTTAACTTTGATTTGCATCACTTTCATTTTCTCCCCCTATCTTATTGCTCTGACTGGAAAAAGCGGACACCCTTGTCCTGTTCCTGGTTTCAGTGGAAATGCTTTCAATTTTTCCCCATCCAGTCTTAATGCTATAGGTTTGCCCTGTTTAATCTTTATTGAGTCATGTATTTTGATGCTCTAGTCTTAGATATCTATCAAGGATTGTTATGTCTTTATGAAAAATTGATCCATTTTTCATTATGTAGTTGTGTTCTTTGTCTCTGATAACATTCTTTGCTCTAAATTCTTCTCTGTCTAAAATGAATATAATTATTCCCATTTTCTTTTGATTGGGATTAATGTGGTATGATTTCAAGTATTATTTTACTTTTAAACCATGTGTCCTTATATGTACAATAAATATTGTTTATATAATATATATTTAGATCTTGCCTTTTGATCCAATATGTTGATCTCTGTCTTAAAAAATATTTTATTTACTATTTTATTTTATGTGTATGAGTGTATTGCCTGCATGTTTGTAAGTGGACCCATGTTGTGCAATGCCTGCAGAGGTCAGAAGAAGGCTTCAGAGCCCCTGGAACTGGAGTTATGGATGGTTGTTAGTCACCATATGGGTGCTGGGAATTCAACCCGGGTCCTCTGCAAGGTTAGCCAGTGCTCTTAACTACTGAGCCATCTCTCCAGCCCCTGATCTCTGTCTTTTAATTGGTGTATTTAAGCCATTGATATTCAAAGTGATTCTTAATAAACTTGGATTAGTAGCTATCATAGTTATCACTGTTTTCTGGTTTTGCCCATATTCTTTATATGTCTTCCACTCTTTTGGGTTTTAATACTTGGTTTTATTTTATTATAATTATTAACACATATTAATTGTACAAACCAGTGGGACTCACTTTATATCTGTCTATACATTCATGTGTATATCATGAGTTGACCATGCTCAGGCATGCTGCTTTTCTTCTGCCCTCATTCTCCACTCCTCAGCCCTCCCCTTTCCTGGCCCCCTTTCCTTTCCAGTTCATAGTAATCCCATTTCTGCTTTCAGGTCTTTTTGTTTTGTTTTGCTTTCACATGCAATAACATGTGTTACTTACCTTTGTGTATTTAGCTTATTTTCTTTTTTATGTTTTATTTATTATTTGTATTTTATGTATATGAGTGTATTACCTGAGTGTATATAAGTGCACCCATGTTGTGCAATGCCCACTGAGGTCAGAAGAAGGCGTTTGATCCCTTGGAACAGGAGTTACCGAATGATTGTTAGCCACTATGTGGGTGCTGGGAACCGAACCCTGGTGCTCTGCAAGAGCAGCCAGTGCTCTTAACTGATGAGCTGTTTCTCTAGCTCCTGGCTTATTTTCTTTGATACCATGTCTTCTAATTCCATCCATTTTCCTGCAAGAAACAGGGATTTTGCTATAGAATAAGACTCCATTGTGTATCTTTTCATAGTTTTTAAACTGAGGATTTAATATAATTTAATTCTGTCTTCTTTGTTATTTAGCATGTGAGTTCTATTCTTTTACTTTTGTGTTTGAGACATACATTTACAATTAGTCCAATTTTACTGTTAAATAACACTGTACTATTCCATGAGTGGTATAAGTACCTTATAATAACAAAATAATGCCATTTATTCCTTCCTGTCCCTCTAATTGTTGCCTTAAAAAGCATAAAACTATTGCACAGAAAAATTTCAGAAGCCAAGGTTTAAATGAATTGGGACCTTTTTTTTTGAGTTTTGTTTTCTAAGACCACACTTCACTATCTAGCTCAGGCTGGCCTTGAATTTACTATGTAGCCAGCTGGCTTCAAGTTCATGATTCGCCTGCCTCGCCCTCCTGTGTGCAACTATGCCTGGGTTGTGACTATTTTAATTGTGATAAATCTTGCAGAACTCAGGGAAGGAAGGATACGGGTTTCAGGAACCGTTTAACAATGACGTTGCAATAGGAAAGGACACTCCTGTTCTTGTCTCCTGCTTCATTTCTCGTTTTTTCACAAGGTAGAAAATTGGAAAGATGGATGAAATGGATGAAATCTTTGTGATTCTCTTTCTAAAATTTTTGAGAATGGCTCTGCTCCTTCATCTGTGTGAGGTGCCTGCTATTAGACCAAATGACTTTAATTAGGGGGCGGCATCTGGAGAAAGAAGTTTAATGAAATCAGCTCATGTGGTATGCCTATGCTGGACCAATCCTCCTGGCAATCCAGGGGCTGGGAAAGGAAGGCAGGTTATCTCACAAAATAGGTGATAAAGGGCTGGAGAGATGGCTCAGAGGTTAAGAACACTGGTTGTTCTTGCAGAAGACCCAGGTTCGAATTCCAGCATCTACATGGCAGCTAACAACCGTCTGTAACTCCAGTTCCAGGGGATCCGAAAGCCTCTTCTGTCCTCTGTGGGCATTGCATGACACGGGTGCACTTACTCACATGCAGGCAATAAACTCATACACATAAAATAAAAAATAATAGATAAAATAAAAAAAAAAAAGCGTACTCTTGCATTAGGTCAGGCCTTCTAAGAAGCAACTTCCAAGACAGGACTTAGCAGAATAAGACTGTTGAATAGAGAACTTCAACTCTACTTGAATATATAAAACAATTGTACTCATTCTTACTTAATATTTTCTAGATTCAAGTTGTTCATGTGTAGAAGAGACTCAAAGGACATCAAATTATTCAAGATCTCTTACAGAAGGTATATTCTTCCTTACCTAGTGGTCAACACTGAGGGATGGAGAGTTGACCTTGGTTAGGAAGAATAGCTGATGCCTGGCTGTTGGAGAGACTTAGGAAGACTGGAGGAATCTGGTGATCTTGGTGCTATGGTGTAAAAACATAACCACATGGCTAATTACTGCATTTTAATTCCTAAGGAGTATGAATTGTGTGATAAATCCAATATTGCCTATCAAATAAAATTTGGTTTAGATGGGGCTGGAGAGATGGCTCAACGGTTAAGAGCACTGACTGCTCTCACAGAGGATACAGGTTTGATTCCCAGCACCCACATGGCAGCTATAAACCATCCTTAACTCCAGTTCCAGGAAAATTTGAAGCCCTCTTCTGACCTCTGTGGCATTGCATGACACGAGTGCACTCATATACATGCAGGCAATACACTCATACACATAAAATAAAAATAATAAATAAAACATTTTTAAAAATTTGGTTTAGCATAATGCATTTATCATTTAATTTAAAATTGTTTCCTTTTCTATTTCTAAATATTAAAATGCCTATCTTAATTTCACGATACTTCAAAGTATATATTGCTTCCTTAGTAATACATAAAACCAGAATAAATAGATACTATTTGAATTTGTATTCATACATTATCTATTTTTGTGAGTATATTTTCTTACATTAATATTTCTGGACTATATTCACTAGCCAAGCAGTGCTATAGTATGACTTCTATAACCTGTTGTGCATAGACTTAACATACATGGTTTCCTTTTCCCGATTTCTTCTTGTTTGTCAGTTAACACTACAGAGGCAGTACTGATGGGTACACAGGCTCTACTCTGCTGCCCTCCTATCCCAACCAGAGAAGCAGTATTAGTAACATGGAAATTAAATACCAGAGGACAGCCTTCCTGCAGCATAGCCTACAGTGTAGGCACAAAGGAGACCAATAAAACCAACTGCACTGACGGGAGAATAACCTGGGTCTTCACCCCTGACAAGAGTCCTCACCTTCTGATCAGTGCCGTGGCCATCACTCATGATGGGCGTTACATGTGTGAAACAGCATCACCTGATGGGAATTTCCGTAGAGACTATGATCTCCAAGTGTTAGGTAAGGATGTCACATGCTGTGGTATTTCAGCTCACTGTGTTTATGATTGAAACCAAAAGCTCTGTAATTTGATCCTTGTGACAAGACTGAATCTTCATCTTTTTTTTTTTCTTCCCCATGTCTACAGTCCCCCCTGCAGTGACTCTGATTTCAGAGAATGGAACTACAGTTTGTGAGGCGGCTGCAGGCAAGCCAGCTGCACAGATCTATTGGACTCCAGAGGGGAACTGTGTCACTGAGAATGAAAGACACAGCAATGACACAGTGACTGTCAGGAGCACATGCCACTGGGACCAGAACAATGTATCTCTTCTGACCTGCTCTGTCTCTCATTTGACTGGCAACAAGACTCTGCCCCCAGGTTTCAACCAAGGTGACTATCTTAAATAAATCCTTCCTTCTTTCCTTCCTCCCTTCCTCCCTTTTCCTTCATTCCTTCCTTCCTTCCTTCCTGCCTTCCTTCCTTCCTTCCTTCCTTCCTTCCTTCCTTCCTTCCTTCCTTCCTTCCTTCCTTCCCTCCCTCCCTCCCTCGGTACGGTTGCTAGGTACGGTTCTTTAAAAAAGAAACTTTCTTTCTTTCTTTCTTTCTTTCTTTCTTTCCTTGTGTATGTTTGTGCCCCTCACCTCTAGCAAGCGGGTAGAGGTCAGAGGACAACTTGTGGAGGTTGGTTCTCTCCTTCTACTGTGGAATCCTGAGATAGAATTCTGGTGGTCAAGCTTGGCAGCAAGTGCTTTTACTTGTTGAGTCATCATGTTGGCCTTAGTCTCTCTCTCTCTCTCTCTCCCCTCCTCTCCCCCCATCTCTCTGTTTCTCTCTGTCTCTGTCTCTACCTATCATTCTCTGTAGCCATAACTAGCCTCAAATTCATGCTCTTTCTGAACCTGCTTCCTGAGAGCTGGGATTACAGAAGACTTCTTTATTTCAGAAGAAGGAGCTGATGTTTACCTTAATCTTCAGTAGAGACAATAAATAACCCAACACAGCCCCTGACTGGGAAATTTCTCTATTGCTAGGAAATGCATTGTTGTGCTAGAGAAATACTTTGCACATTTTTCCAAATAGAATTGCCAGTACAATTCATTTCTTACTACTGATTTTCTAAATGCCTTTTATTAGGACCACCATAAAATGTTCTCATATTTTAGTGATTTGTTGACTTTTACTTTGAGATTATTGGTAACATACATTAGTATATTTATAATGTTTTATACTCAATAGAAAACCAAGCATTTATTCTCTTTCTTATTTTCCTGTTTCTTGTGATTGTCCAAAGTAAGGAACAGGCTTTCTTGCTCACTTCATCTTGTCTCCAGAAACCAGAGCCCCAATTCTTTCACCAATATTTACTGGAAGCTATTTTGAAGTTTGAAGCTGGAGATACCATGATAGCAATGCGCAGATCCCCAGATTCCTACTGCATTCAGGAGTACAACCTGGAGCAAAGGCGCAAAGCCTTTGGCGTAACATGGCTCCTCATTCACCAGCTGTGTGATGGTTCACTCTTGTCAACTTGACACAAACTGGAGTCATTTGAGAAGAGGGAACCTCAATTGAGGAACTTCCTCTATCAGACTGGCCAGTGGGTATGTCTGTGGGGCATTAGTGTAGGAGGGCACAGTCTGGAAAAACAGCTGAGCAAGCCAGGGGAAACAAGCCAGGAACCAGCATTCCTCCATGGCCTGCTTCAGTTTCTGCCTCTCACTTCCTGGCCTTGACTTCCTGCCCTGACTTCTCTCAGTGACTAACTGTTATCTGGAAGTATAAGATAGAATAAACCCTTTCCTCTCCAAGAGTTTTGTCATAGCAACAGAAAGCAAACTAGAACAAGCTGTATAAATTCTGATTTATTGGGTAACTTCCCAGCCCCTTCCCCTTCCTTTTCCATTCCTCTTTTTGTAGGGAACAGGCTTATTATTATTGTTATTTTTTGGTCATTTTGAGACAGGGTCTCCCTGAAGCCCCCGCTGTTCTGGAACTCTCCTATGTAGACCAGGCTGGCCTTGAACTCACAGAGATCTGCCTGCTTCTGCCTCCCAATTAGTGTTGGGATTAAAGGCATGTGCCACCATGCCCAGAGGAACATGCTTATTTTGTACACTGCAAAGAGAGCAAGTGGGCATGTTAGTAACAGAAGAATTGCTTGCCTCATTATTTTCTTGAAGGTAGCCCTTCTTTTCTTTTGATACAAGAAAGGAATTGACCTTGTTTATTCTCGGAAAGTTCTAAACACATTTGATTTTTTTCCTTTTAAAAAATTTATTCTTGCTGCTTCCCTGGACCTGCACGACCTCAGGCCTCTCTTCGACCTGCAGGCCTTTCTCCAGGACCAACCCAGTGCTTCAGTACAGTCCCCAGGAGCCTTAGGGACCATTTCTGGCCCCCATCTTCCTTTGGATCTCTGAGTGGCACAGCCACCAGCTGCCCTAGAGCAGCATCCTTCCTGGGCCTGGCTCCCAGGCCAGTCCACCCCCAAATTCCTGAGGCCAAAATCTTTCCTGGAGGGATCCAGACCTTAGGAGAAAGCCTGAGAGCATCTGATCCTCATCTGACTTGGGCCTCTGTGGGAACTCCTGAAGACAAAAGCAATCTGGCCACTCCAATATAAAATCAGAAGAGAGAACCGGAAGCTTAGAGGAACCAGCTTTTCATGCCCAAAAAGTAAACCACAAAGACACATAAAGTTCAAAAAAAGAAGCAGACCTAAACTTGAAGGCTTGAGTCTCACACAAGAAACAGAAACTATAAAAGAAATTCATATGTCAAAATCACAGAGAAAAAATAATAACATGAAAAACCAAAATAACATA